ACTACATAGCTGCCTGCTTACCTTTCATACAGTGTAGATATAACCGTAGACGGAGATAGGTGGTAGTTTAGTCCTGTGGTTCACAATCTTTTGCCCTTCAAATATTTTGTCCTGATCAGGCTATAACCCTCAGAAGCTCTTGCCAATATGGCCAAGGTCTGAGCCAGATATCCTAAACATATGTGTGTCTGTGTCTAAATTTGAGAACCATTGGTTTTGTCAAGATAAGACGGGCCCTTGCCCTAGTGAACTAATGGCTAACTCAAATACTGTATTTTCCATAGACAAATAGCATTGACAAGTACTTCAAAGAGCCCTCCTTGGTATTTACAGCCAACCACATTAATACATCTTGAACAGATCCAGCCATGTAGTGCAGCCAAGGCTCACAAGCTGAAAGGCCCATGACTTTCTGATTAGGATGGGCTATGAAATTATCCTTTATTCCACCCCCTTCCCTCTTAGCATAGCTATAATTCTCATCCTAGCTGATGAAGTCAAGGATTTCCCTAGAAACAATATATTATTGCAAGCCATTCTTGTTGTGGTGTAGAGGATAGTAGTGGATAGAATGATGGACTAAAACTCTGGCAACCAGCATTCAGATCCCCATTTGGCCATGGAAACTCACTGGGGAAGCGGAACTGGTAAAAACCACTCCTTAAATATCCCACCACCTCTCCCTCTATGAGCCTGCCTGGGGATTAAGATCATCAGGGGAGGCCTTTCTCTCATGCCGCCCCCCTCACAGGTGCGCTTGGTGGTGGGGACATGGGAGCGGACCTTCTCTGTTGTTGCTCCCAGACTCTGGAATGCCCTCCCGTGGGAAGCCAGGCTGGCCCTATTTTTGCTGTCATTCCACAAACAGGAGAAGACCTTTCTCTTCAGGCAGGCTTTTCCTTAGTGACTGGTGGTCTGAGAAAGGTTTTAAATGGATTGTTGTGCTTTGTTGTTTTAAATGTGTTTTAGTATTGATTTTATTGCTGCTTTTAATGTAATACTTGTATAATTCTTTTTAAATATTTGTATGCCTACTGTTTTTAGCTTTTAAATATTGTCTTTTTAATTATGTAAGATTAAGAGCTATTATCTTTTACAAACAATGTGATCTTCATTTGTTGACATGGCTTGATTCAGCGGTCTGCAATTTTTTTTGGGGGGGGGGAACACAAGGACTGTTATGATGAGCATCTGTGCTGCTGGATTTTCCACACCACCACTGGACAGATCCTCTTGTGCCGAAAAGTCCCCACAAAAACTGCCATCTAAGCCAATATGGCTTAAACTAGAATCTCTCATTCATGTGCCAGGTTTTTATCTGCATGGAGGGGGAATTTCTTTCTTTTTAAAAAATATGCGTGAAATTTTTTTTAATTGCATTCCCATCCCATGTTTGAAATGATATAGTCAGTTCTATCACCTGATTCTATTATATGTATAGACAAGGCTTCTGTTTACTTAAGGTAAGGTAAAGGTTCCCCTTGACAATTTTTGTCCAGTCGTGTCCGACTCTAGGGGGCGGTGCTCATCCCCGTTTCCAAGCCATAGAGCCAGCGTTTTTGTCCGAAGACAATCTTTCGTGGTCACATGGCCAGTGCGACTTAGACATGGAACGCTGTTACCTTCCCACCGAAGTGGTCCCTATTTATCTACTCCCATTTGCATGCTTTCGAACTGCTAGGTTGGCGGGAGCTGGGAGAAGCGATGAGAGCTCACTCCGTCGCGTGGATTCGATCTTACGACTGCTGGTTTTCTGACCCTGCAGCACAGGCTTCTGCGGTTTAGCCCACAGCGCCACCACGTCCCGAGATTCTGTTTACTTACTCTGAGCTAAACAACAACAACAACAACAACAACAACAACAACAACAACAACAACAACAACAACAACACTATGGTGGGGGAGAGACTCCTACTGAGTAGAATGTGATGGCTGCTTTGGGCAGCAGTTATCATTAAAGGTTAGCAAATGGCTTGTTGTTATTGCACTTTTAATGCTAGGGATGGAAAGACATAACCTGTGGGATTTTCTGTCTCATGCCCCCACATTACGAGGATGGTTTGGTGTAACAAATATCTTAGGTCAGTGGTGCCCAGAATCCTGGAATACATACATATAGGTATGTATTTGATTTATATACCACCCCTTTAGTGGAAACACTACTCTGGGTAGTATACAAATTTAAAATTCAGAACTCTCCTATATGACAATAAAATCAATATGGCGGTTCACTAATCTAAATATTAATGGAAAAAGAATAATAAAACAAAATAAAATATAAATTTGTATTAACAGCATCCGGGGAATAAGTTATGAAAGGCAGTTTTGCAGTAGGAGGTAAGAAAAGTGTGAGCTGTTTGCTCAAAGTGATATACATGTTGTTGTTACCTGCTGTCAAGTCGCCTCCAGCAACCCTATTCATGAGTACTGCTCAGCAATAAAAAGCTCAAGACTGTGGGTTCCTTTATTGAGTCAATTGATCTCACATTTGGTCTTCCTCTTTTCCTGCTGCCTTCAGCTTTTCCCAGCATTATTGTCTTTTCCAATGAATCTTGCCATCACGTAATGTGTTCAAAGTATGACAGCCAGCCTCCATTTCATTTTTGCTTCCACAGATAGTTCAGGCTTTATTTGCTGTTGGATCCACTTGTTTGTCTTTCTGGCAATCCAGAGTATCCACAAAGCTCTCCTCCAGTAATACACATCAGTAAAGAATGCCATCAGTAATGATAAAATCAAAGATAAAATTTGTACAATACTGTATATAAGTTGTTCCCAACCTGGGGTAACACAGATAGATGTTCTTGGACTGCAATTCCTAGAAGCCTTCACCACCAGCTATGCTGGCTGGGGTTTCTGGGAGTTGTAGTCTAAGAACACCTGGGTTATTCAAGGTTGAGAACCACTACAGTATATGATAAAATAACAAAAAAATCAATATAGAGAAAAATAGCATAAATGTCAAGTGCTAGTATCAATAAACTTATTTTTTTTAAAAAAACTAATGGAATTATAAACTACTAGCTTCTTACCCTAGATTGCATTGGAGAAGCAGTTAAATATAATTTACTACTAAACTACTTGTAACTTTAGTTTGGAAAATTGGAAAAAATGTAAAAAAGAAACTTACAGTAGTCTCACACCTGTCTCTTCTAAACATCAATGGGACTGACAACCAGGGAAGAAGGTGAAGGTCTGCATCATAAGGAAGGTTTGACAGGTGCTCATAACAAATAAGAACTAATTTTGCTATATTTATCAGTGGAAACTGTATGTAGCCTTGGCTATGCATGTAACAGAATAAGGCTAGAGAATGGATTCTACCACTTCTTAGTTGTATTGGAACTACAATTTTAAATATGTTTGTGCATATTAAAAGACAGAAAAAGCCCTCCGGTTTTACACTTACGAGTGAAAAGTATATATTCTGTAGATTTTCTATTTTTTAAAATAATAAACACATACCATCTGTTCGAAAGGGAATAATGTGAAGCATATGACATACTGCAGCAAATATAAGCTGCGGTATGGTGAAATCGTGGCACTGAATGAATAGCAATGGGTTGATTCTCTGATGGCTATTCAATAATACTCTTTATCTACATCAGAATCTCTCCCCGCGCGGGGCATAAATCTATTCGAATTAATAGTGGCATACACAGTGTGATATTCACAAGGCAGCCATACTTGAAATCTAATGAAAATAACAAGAGAGGGGCAGAAGAAATGCTGAATGAGGGGCATTCTTTGGCCATGTCGTCTTCTCGTGCAAGGTTTTAAGTTCAAAGATGAAAACTAGGGAGAGCACGAGGGAGGCTTGGAGGAGGTTCCACTTTGTGTGACCTGCAACCTGGGTTTTTACAAATATCTGTTATGCCAGCCCTTCTGCACCGACTCAGAGGCACGCTTGCTAGTCCCATCACGTCCCTGAGCTGAGCGGAAATAAGTTAAACCCCGTTACAAACAAAAGACCTCTGGTAACGAGAGGCTTTCTGAAGGACCTCCCGGTTCTCCCTTTACCTCCTCCCACCTTCACCAGAGGGTGGATCCCAAGCCTGATGTCATTTCCCGTGGAGTTCCCCTTCCCCCCGACCCCCCCTTTCCTCCTTGAGCCGGAAAATGAGGCAATATCCCAGCTGGCTGTTTTTCGCGAACTTTGGGAGGGGACGGTTCTCCTCTTGATTTCGCTTCTGGCTCGCTTTTAAACGCAGCCCCCCCCCTCCCCGCTGCTGCCGCCGCCCTCTTCGTCCCCTCCTCTCCATTTGGGTTTCCGATTCAGGCTGGGATCTTGACCAGCCTGCGGAGAGGCCTGGGTTTGCACTCCGGGGAGGCTCCACTTGGGGGTGGGTGGGGAGGGGAATGATGTCCCATGATACGGGCGAGAGGCCCCCCAACCCTGAGCCGCCCCCCGCCACGGTCTACGTCCTCGTGGAGGACCCGCGCTCGACTGACGCCCTGCAGCTGCTCAGGTGAGTCCAAAGGCAGGCGCCGAGAGCGGGCTGTTTGCACGGGTTGCGAATCCCCCGTGCAAGAGGGGCGGGAGGTGCTGGTATGTACTACAGTACCTATATTTTGCTCATTTCTGGAGCAACGATCGCTCGTGAGCAGGAAGAGTCTTTCGACGGACTGTTTTGTCTTGCGCCGATGGGGTGAAAAGCCAAGTTCATCTTGTACACAGAAATAATGTGTCCAAAATGTGAATGTGAGGAAGTGCAGAACTGAGTGCAGAGCATGGTGAAACACCCCTGATACTGTACTCCATATTTTGGACTCCAGTCCCCATCAGCCCCAGCCAGCATAGTCGGACTGTGGGAGTTGTATTCTTTTTTTAGACTTTTGGAGAAGTTGGGAGGCAGAATGTCTGCTTTGCATTTGCTGAAAACCACGAAAGCATCTCTCTCCCTCTCTGTCTCTCTGTCTCGGGGGATTGGGGTGCTGGCAAGTGTAGTGGAAGGAGTGTCTTCATGATTCAGTTTCCTTCTGTTTTGCTGACAGCAGTCCTTCTCCGTGGTGCCATTTTCACTTCTTGTTTTTAAAAACTTTCTGCTGATCTCAACTTTTACCTGAATCCAGTGGCAGACTTGGGCTTTCTTGCTGACTAATTTTAAAATCATTACTTTCTACTCCTTAGAAGAGGCCTGCCTCAGGCTGAATTTTTGCTGAGACATGTACTCTATGGTCCCAGCCTGCTAGATTTTATCCTCATCCAGGCAGTCTGGATGTTTTTTGTACTCCGGTCGTTGTTGTTGCTACCAGGATAGGCCTTTTGTTCTAGGGCAGTGGGGCAGTATGGTTCATTTGAAGAGCTGCAAACAATGTCCTCAAGTTTTAGCCAGTTGCTGTGTAGTTGTAGCTGTTTTTTAACAGGCAAGAAACAGACCAAAAACCTAACGGACAAAAATTGTTCCACAAATCTATTGCATTTTGCTACTGATACATTTTGATCCCAGGCAGTGTCATGTATTGGAAGAAAAAGTGTCCTATGCCATTTTCCAGCCTGCTGTAATGGCAAAAAGCAGGAATGGCTTTCCAGTTGCCAGTAAATTGGGCCTATTTAGGTGGCAACAGTGGATTTTTCATCAGGTTTCATGAATACAAGACTTAGTTACCTCATCCTTAATCCTATCCATTTTTCTAACCCTGAGTATACTGGAATTCCCATGGGGTTAGAAAATACCCCAGCAGTCATCTCGTTTGTTTGTTTGTTTCATTGAGTTATATACCACCCCATTAGTGTGATGAATGGTAAAGACTTGGATCGAATTCGCATCTTTCTTCCAGACATAGTGTGTAACCATGGGGGAATCATTTTTGTCTGCTTCAGTTTCTCTTACCTGTGGAACAGGGATAAGATTATGTTCTATCATTTACTGTATTTGCTATTTCTACTTCCTCTAGTTAGTACAGTAAATGTAATAGGAGTGTCTCTAACTGGAAAGTAAAAAGGCGTCTCCCAAAACAGAGTCCACAACAACCACAGTAATAGTAACCTGACTGAGTGTGAAGTACGTAATTTGGTTGTTGCAGTGATTTTAATTGCTTCACTATTAGTTTCAAAATGTTTGTTAACGGCTCTGACACTGTTTTTAGTATAGAGATAGCATAGATATATAGTCTATAAATAGACTAAACAGACAGGTAAGCAAATAAGTAGTTATCTTTAAACCGGCTGGTAAGAGTTCTGCATTACTTTAAAGTATGTATTCATTTCCAATTCCCAGCTTGATGTAATTTGTGCTAGATAAAACTCAGACTTCCCACAGCTTCCCACAGGTTTTGCAGTTCTCCAGATGGCACACAATCCAGCAGGACTTGAACAAGGTGAGGTCAAAGGTGGTGTTCCCCCAGGTGTTATTTATTCTACGGTTGGCCTGCTATGAAATTAAACATTCACATATCCACAGTTTTCCAGACTTTCACACAGGTGTCTCTCTACACCTTGTCTGGAGTGGCCAGGTTTTATTTATTTATTTTATTTCTCTGTCATCCATCCAGTAAGAAGCCACGACTCTGGGTAATCTACAACAGTATTAAAACACAGCCACCTCTCTGACCACCATAAATTAAAAAATAAAATAAAATAAAATTTCAACACAACAAAAATAATAAAGACAGCGACAGTAAGGCCACAGCTGAGGTAAATGATACAATAGGGGATCAAGAAAAGAAACTAAGGAAGGGGAAGGATACTTCTGAAGGCTTATTTTAAAAGCTCTCTCTTTCCAAAGGCCTAAAACGAGGGTGCTTGGCAGATCTCAGGTGAAACAGAGTTTTATAGAGACAGGGCCACTACCAAGAAGACCTGGTTTCCGGTCCTCTCTAAGTAAAGGCACCCATAGAGACAAGGTCTGTGAGGAACTGGTGATGCAGGTAGAAATTCTGTGGGAGATATGTTTTGACAGTTTTAAAATCTGGGACATTTGACTGCAGATTATGTGCTCTGTCTACCTCTGTCACTGAACTAGGGCTGACTGGGCTGTTTTTTTCTCTTCTTGCCCCTACCTACAACATACCTAAAAATTAACACTAATCACTAGTAATACTATAATACTAAGTTCCCATTGTAAGATAGCTGGAGCTCTGGACAAGAACACCTCTCTCAGAACAGAGGTATGCAACTGTGGCCTTCTCTATAATTTTGGATTACAATTGGCAGAATCTATTATCTGGTAATTAGGACTGATGGGAGTTTGTAGGCAAAAAATTAAAAAGCATCTGGACAGCCAGAGTTGCCCAATCCTATCTTATACTGCAGAGATTTATTGTGACATTTTCCTGTAGTCCTCACTTGACATCACACAGAACAGGTGCTGTTAAAAAACAAATTATTTATTTTTGTAAGAAAAAGAATTATATCCTTCCCTTACAGTTATTATAGTTGATCTTACTAAAGGCATTCCCAATGTGGATTTTAGATTTTGCTTTACTCATATAGATCTTTCATTTTTGGAACTGAACAGCAGTGATGGCAGTTAAGAAGAAGTAAACTATAATTACAAGTAATAATAAAACAGATTGGTCTGTATGGAATCAGGGCAGGAAACAAGTGGGATTAACAAGAATATTTACTGGTTAAACATTTGCATGCCAGATGAATAGATAATGTCATATCTAAATGTAAACAACATAATGAGCAAGGATATCTGAACATCATCACCTGCCGTGAAGTCATTTCTGACTTATGGTGACCCTTTCCATGGTTTTCTAGGTAGAGAATACTCAGAAGTGGTTTCCTGTCTTCTGGGGGTGTTGCGTGTAGTGCAGTTTGCCCAAGGCTACACAGGTTGGTTCCTTGGAGGTACAGTTGGGAAATGAACTCCCAAGCGTATATACAACTGGAAATGAAAAGAAGTGTTGTAGCACCTGAAAGACACATTTATTTCACTGTGAATTTTCTCAGAACACTTCCCCAGATTCGTAAGTTACTGAAACCCTTTAAAACGCTGGCTGAGGCACCAACCCTCTTGAGTGCATGGGGATTTCCTTATGAATAATCTGTACTGTACATGGATTGAGGGCAGCACAACTCAGGCCCATACTGTGCATACGTTATATGGACGAAACACTTTGTGACTTCCATATAAAGATTTGGAGGATCAGGCTGCTGTAAGCGCCCAACCAGACTCAGCCTCGCCTTGTTCGTAACCGCGTAGTTCACTGGGACTTCACTCTGTTCCACCCTAAGAGTGTCCAGGACTGTAGTTACGCGGTTATCACCAGTACTAAAGGCACAAGCTGAGCAGCAGCCTTGGAAATAAGTATGTATAAAGCGCAACCCTGTATGGGTCCACTAAGAAGTCAAGCCCATGGAGCTCAGCGGAGCTTCCTTCCAGCTCCTCATGGCTCAATGTGGCGTCACCCTCATCCCGTCTCCCGTTACGTTGTTGAGCGCCTTCCCGGCCCCACAGGAAAAGAGGCCCGGCGACGGAATGCGACGCGGACCCTTTAAGGAGGTCAGGTGACGGAGAAGGGGAGGAGCATGTGGCTGTGGGAGCTGGAGGAAGGACTCGGGCTCGCCCCCTAGAGGCCAAGTGGGCACATCGCAGAGCAGCCGCCTTGCTTGTCGCGGGCGCCTCTACGCGCGTCCTTATTCCTGCCTGGGTTGGCTATTAATAGCTCCAAAACAAGGACGCTTGGGTAGATGCGCAACGAGGAGCGCGGTTTTTTCCCCCCTGGGAATCGACGGGAAGGCTGCGGAGGGGGGAGGGCGTCGTCGTGTGAATGCCTGCAAGCAGACAGGGCGGGTTTCTGCTTCTCTCCCCCTCTTCTTCCTCCTCCTGCCCCCACACGCATCCAGGGATGCCCGGTTAAAATGCTTCTCCAAAATGGCCCGCACCAGGAAATGCACCGAGCCCTCCTGGCGAGAGGCCTAAAAGTGGGGCAGGAAACCGGAGGCACCCTCCGATCCCAGGGCGCACGGAGTCAGCCCAGCGGCCGGGATCTGGGAAAGGAGGGGTCGGAAGCCCTTGCTTCCTCCCCGGGCTCGCTCCCCTTCCCCTCCGCCCTCGCTTGCCCGAGGCTGGCTGGTGGGGCAAGCAGACACGCGGCGTGGCATCGCTGGGAAAGGAGTCCGGCTGGCGAGGTGGTGGTTGGAGGTGAGCGGGATCCGGGCCCCCATCTGGGTTCTCACCTTTTTTTTTCTAGGGAAGTTGATCAGCTTGCTCTCCTCCCCCCCTCAAAAAAATATCCACCTTGTTCAATCGCCTGGAAGAATCGCACTCCCGGGTTTCAAAGCGGTGGGTTGGAAGAATCCACGTCGGAAGTGCTCTCCCCGTGAACCGCCGCCCCGTCCAAGAGATAATAAAGCACAAAAGGCGACAGCCGGGGTATCCTATCTCTGGAGAGTTACCACCAGATATGGTCACTGGTTAAATAAAAAAAATACATGACCTGGCGGTGGATATATTATAGTTTCATTTGATGCCCTTCAGTAGCGAAGAGCGCTTTTCCCTTCAAAAGGGATTTTATT